TTAAAAACTATTATTAAGACTCTTTTATTTAACATCTAATTTAAAGTTGAGTTCCCTAAACATATTAAGATTTGAAAGCATACATACATTTACCTGATATTTCATTTTTACCTATACTGTGTTTCATTTCTTACTTTATTTTCAAATTGAGATATATTGTTTCCAGATTATTAATTATCAATATTTTTGCAAAACCTAGGGCTTATTTTAGAAGTTTCATCATGTTTCATCTACTCTTAACTTCACATGTTGATTTTGTTCTGATTTTGCTTCTAACATTTTAGATTTTTCATATTTTCAAATTACATTTTATTTTTCAACACCTCTATAATTTTTCAAGGCTTAGCACTTTTGTCTTTCAAACTTATTTTAGGTATTTATGTTTAAATTTTAATTAATTTTTATATGTTAATTGTTGTATTTTCATCACTGGAAAAAGTAGAAACTTACTTCTTCAGGGTTGTGAAAACCAAAGAGTATTTACTTAGCATAACGCAAGATACCTTGGGGATCTTTGACATTTCCTTATGAGCCCATTTGCTTTATTCCCATAGCATTTGTCTTTTTACTCCAATGCAAGTCATGATCTGAATTATGAAGCTGTTCCTGGACAGTTCTATGGCTTTCTTCAATGGAAAAGTCTGTGTGATTCTACAGTTTAAGTAGGGCTGGGATGAGAGAGTTTATATTTCCTGGCCTCTGTTCCTCCGTTACTTAAGTTGAAATACATTGCTATACAACTGTGATATTATACTATAGGCTGGCGAAGTGTAATTCTTTGTCTATACTCTTCTGATACATTTGGCTGATCTATATTTATCAGTTTAGCATTGAAAAATGTGTTACAAACAAAATAAGTAGAATGAATCCTATTTATTGCCATGCATTTCTCTAACTATGAATATAACTCACATGCACAAAATTACATTTTCCAACAAAGAATACAGAAAAACATGACTAAGTTATAATCAACCTATACACCCTTATTGACTAGAGAAGGAAATAAGATGCAAAGTGCATATAAAAAAGCAGCAGAAAATTCTGCAAATTAAAAAAATAATTTAGAAATAGTCTCTGACAGATGAGGAAAATTTTGAGGCATTAAAGGTTGCTCCTTGAAGAAATATGGCATTTGGAAGAGGTTTAGTGAATGGCTGTGGTTTTGAATTGGGATTAGGAATAAGGGTGGCCTTCTAAGCATAATGAAGAGTAGAACGACATAGAAACACACAGAAGGTGGTTCAGATTAAGGATTACTTGGTGAAATATGGAATGGAAAGATGCATGTAGCCTAAACAGATATTTAAAGATGCCAAGGATTTATGATTGCCAGCTCCAGAATTTATTGAATTTGTTTTCTGAACACTATTTATTGATATCATACTGTGTAGCAAACAATTTTCTGCAGGTCTCAGATGATGTAATCTTAAAATAATGCTATTATGTAAATGTTCCTTATTCATATATATGTATCTAAGCTAAAATGGCTGGTAAAGTTTAAGTCATTAGTAGAATAGCTTCCCTGAGCCAAGTTTCCTATGTAATTCCTATGTCAGAAGCCTAGCATGATTACAAAGCATAGGGAATAGGAGAAGCTGAAAATGATCAGTGGAGACAGTGTTGTCCTTTACAGTATAGTAAAACCAAGAGAAAGTTAGTGGGAGCTTGCATGGTAAGTTTGGTTCAGGTAGTTTTCTGTTTCCTCCTTAGATTGTTGCCCCCAAAAGCACCTAATGAGTGGATGTGTTGGGGAATATTCTATAAATTTTCCTTCAAAGCACAATCTAGACTTTTGTGAAGAGGTATAATTACACACATGTGACTGTATATATCCATATTCTCTCATCATCATCATCTGCCTCCTCCTCCTTCTTCCTCTCTCCCACTCCCCCTTCTTTAACCCCCCCTTCCTTCTTCCTTCTCCACCTCCAACTCTATCAGCAGTAAGGCTTGAAGCTACATGCTTCGTGCTCGTTACTCTCAATACAATAGCAAGCTCATATTGAATCAAAGCAATGTTGGAGGCATGTAGAATTTTGAATAACCTTAGGAACTCTGAAGAAAAACAAACATGAATAGATATGATTGGAGAGAAGGAAAGGAAGGGAGAAAATAAAACAATTTGTGTTTAAAAATATGGAATCACAGGGAATGAGCATAGAATGGGGGGAACAAAAAGGGACTCACTAAGAGGAAAAAAAGCATAATTTTGTTTTAAAGGCTTTATTCCACAGCAGTCAGCAATAACCTCTAAAATTTCCAAACATTTTGACAACACCCTTATTTCCCCTTTTGTGAAGAGTATTCCGTCATACAGCACATCCCAACCACATTTTCCCTCATTCCATTTCTCCCAACTATCTTATCGTCCAAATTCACTCCCCCTCAATTTCCTTTTCAGAAAAAAGAGCAGGCCTCCAAAAAGTGACAACCCAACAGGACAAAACAAGATACAGTAACACAAGGCAAAAGCTCTCTTATCAAGACTGAACAAAGCAAACTAACAGGACGAAAAGTGTCTCAAGAGCAGTCAAAAGAGCCGGGCGGTGGTGGCGCATGCCTTTAATCCCAGCACTCGGGAGGCAGAGGCAGGCGGATCTCTGTGAGTTAGAGACCAGCCTGGTCTACCGAGTGAGTTCCAGGACAGCCTCCAAAACAATACAGAGAAACCCTGTCTCGTAAAAACCAAAAAAAAAAAAAAAAAGAGCAGTCAAAAGACTCTGAGATATACCTGTTCCCACTTGTAGGAGTCCCACAAAAACCCAAAGCTAACACCATAACATATATGCAGAGGATCAGATGCAGACCCACGCAGACCCACGCACCTGTGCATGCTGCTTCAGTCTCTGAGAGCCCATGTTCTCCTGCTGTATCCACCTCTCTTACTCCTACAGACTTTCCTTCTTCTTCCTCAGGGTTACCCAGTTTCTCTGGGTAGGTGGTGGTGGGAGACCCAATGGATAGCTTCAATTTATACTCTCTCTCTCTCTCTCTCTCTCTCTCTCTCTCTCTCTCTCTCTCTCTCTCTCTCTCTCTCTGTCTCTCTCTGTCTCTCTTTGTCTCTTTCTGTCTCTTTCTGTCTCTCTCTGTCCCTCTGTCTCTCTCTGTCTCTCTCTCTGTCTCTCTTTGTCTCTCTCTGTCTCCCTCTCTCTCTCTCTCTCTCTGTCCCTCTGTCTATCTATGTATCTATCTCTCTCTCTATCACCCACTCTCTCTGCACCATGTCTAATTGTGGGTCTCTGTATCCGCTCCCATCTGCTACAGGAGGAAGTCTCTCTAATGATGACTAGACTAGGGACTGATCTATGAGAATAGCACAATATACTTAGGAATCATTTCCTCAATGTTTTAAAAAGACCATTCATGTTGACCATTCATGTTGATTCTACCCAAAGTCACTGGGCTATCCAGTTTCCAATTTCTGGCCATCCAGGCAGTGCCAGGCATGAATTTCCTCTTGTGGAGTGGGTTTCAAGTTATTGGACTACATCCTATTTTTAATATTTACTTAGGTCTTTTGCATCTTATAACATGTTTGGCTAATACTCTGGGAGGCCTGCGCTTTTTTGAAGGGAAACATAGGAGGTATGGATCTGGGTCTTGGAGAGCTGGTAGTAGTGGAGGGAGGGGAAACTGCATTTGGGATGTGTTGAAAACAAAAAATGAAATAATGGTTAATACCTGCTAGAATTGACTAAAACTAATGAGTTTAGTTGCCCAGAGATGTGTTTTATTTGTTTGTTTATATGTTTTGGTTTGGGTTCATTTTTGTTTTTTGTTTGTTTTGATAATGATAAAATAAGATTGGTCATGGTTGTTTGTTTACATCATAATTATGGTCTTGGATAACCACAAACTGTATTATTTTATTAGTATCTATTTGGTAACGATTCCTTCCCTCCCTTCTTTTTCCCTTCCCTCCCTCCCTCCCATTCTCCTTCTCTCATTCCTTCCTTCTTTAATCAATGTATCTACTACTCTCTTACCTTAAATTCAAACAATTTACAAAAAATAGTAAGGGCCATAAAAATGGTTCGAACCAAACCTTATTCATCATGACTAATGCTAAGTAAACAGTCTAAACTTCGGCTCTTTTTTCACCCTAACAGTTGGTTCCAGTAACCAAAAGTATTGAAATTAAAAGTACCAGTTTTCTACCAGAACAAAGTCCTCTTGTAAAATTTATTGGAAAACAGGATAAGAGTTCTCAATAAATAAATCAGTAATCATACCAATAAAGAAAAAAAAGGGCATTGAAGTTTTCTGAATACGGGATGATGAACTGGAGGATTGATGAATAAATAATCCTGGACAATTATTACCAATGTGTTCTTATCTTACCTACAAATGGGAAGTTACGATAGTGTAATTCAAAATCTAGGAGTTAAGGAAATGTTGGCTATGTTGGGAGAACAGAGAATATTTCTTTGGCAACATATAGCATACTTATTCCCATATTATTTCTTTTTACTTTTCAGAATTGCAAGCAATGCCTTGTAAAATGTATATTGCTCATTAGTTTATGAAGTAAAACTTCAACCTTTCACTTCAATTATTTTACCTTAAAAATCATGGGTGCAGTAACACGGTCACATAATGAAATGTAGTGCAAATAAAAGTTCTGCCCTGTTCCCTAGTAACATACATAGACTTGTCTATAGCAACAATTCTGAAAGTTTCCCCATGGAACAGAAATGTAATAATCTGAAATTCAAGAAATGTCTCATACAAAATGAAAAATGATTTTAAGGCTTTGCAGTTGGAGAATTGGCTCTCAGTGATGCATAATGTGCTCAAGATTTAACTGTTTCACAGTTCTGTGACCTTCAATAAAATAACATCCGTAATAATTACAATAGCTGTAATATGAATACGCAATTGATGCCCAAAGCTCAGCAAAGCTCCTGTTGTTTCTCTCATGCACACACACTGGTGAAAGAGGCATCCCAATGCTTCATATTTATTTTTCTAAAACCATGTTAATTTCTTATTTATTTCAGGCATTACTAGAGACTCAAAATTTACTGCGCACTCAGGTTGCAAATTTTACCTTCAACCTTGGATTTTCAGGGAAGTTTTACCATACAGGTAAGAAGTAGATTTGTGTTCTCAGGCAGCTCCATATAAATAGGATGTAGAATTTTAAATGTTCCATAAGTAGTAGACAGAGGTTGTCTATGTTGATAATTGGGGGGTTGGGAAACTTGGGTGCACTACATGAGTAGCTAGATACAAACATCAGTTTGTTTACAAAAACTTCTAAAATCAAAGGCAAAAGAAAAAGATCTCTAGACATACATCTGTGGAGACTCTGGGGAACAGAAATAAACCCTCCGTGTGTGGGAGACAGTTGTGAAGCTTTAACTATCAGAGGGGTCCCTGACAGTAGGACCAGGACACAAACCTGGTATATGACCTAGCTTATTGGAGCCCATTTCCCTATGATGGGATACCATGTTCAGTCTTGAAGCATGGGAGAGGGGCCTGGCTCTGTCCCAGCATATTGTGCCAGACTATGTTGACTCATCATAGGAGGCGGTACCCGTGAGGAGGAGTGGACTGTGGGTGGGCTAGGAGGGAGGTGAGGAGGGTGGGAGCAGGTGAGGGATAGGAGGAGCGGTGGGAGGGAGAATTGTGGTTGGAGTGTAAAATGAAATTTAAAAAATGGAAACATAGGAAAAAGAGCACTGATTTTAGAACTCTTTAAGAGAAACCATCATAATTATACCAAATGTGACTGTGCATCCTTTTGTCTGTGTCACATAAGCGAAAGTACAGTGTAGAAACAACAATGACAGCATCGACACTAAGATGAACAGCATTGGGAAGCATTTTTAAATCACCAAAGTTGAGTTGATAGATTCTTTGGTATACATTATTTTGATGGGTAATGGAATTTATAGACTCGAAGAAATGCAGTAGACCCAAAAGATCATCTTATTGATTTTCATTTCTGTGAAAAAGTTTATTCTAATTTTTTTCTTAACAGAGCTGATGTCCATTACAATTCTCATAATAAGTCATACATTCTTCCCACCACTGTCTAAGTATCTTTCTGTTTATTCTGAGCCCCTCAACAGACTCCAAACAAGCTTGGTGTTTTTGTAGTTTATGCTCTCCTGTGTCTTACTTCTCTGCACCCTGATATTCAGATTTTGACTTTTACCTTCAAAATATTAGTATTGTGCTATATTATATTAGGATACAGAGAGCTGTGTTCATGTAATGAATTCTCTTACACTGACAGTATGTGTTGGAGCCTCTGTAAAGAGAGCAGTCAAGATCTGCACCTCTGTGTGCATTCTGGCTATAAGCTAAATGCTTTACTTCAGATGTTAAATTATAGGTTAGAGGGAACATAGCATAGTCATCTCTATGTACTTAAGCAGCTTATTGACTCCTTAACAATGTCCAATGCAAAAGTAGTCTGTAACCTTCCCGAGCACAGCTTGTTTACTCAAGGAGACTATCTAATGCAAAGTTCAGCATGATAAATTAGGATAATGAAGTAGAGATGTCTTACTGGATTTTTCCTGATATATGTTGGTCAATTTTTTGTTTTACTTGAAATATTTAAATTTATTTAACATAATAGAAGGGAAATTAGTACTTAACTACTTGATAAGACAAATGATTGCATATTTTAAAGGACATTTGAAGAGAGATTGGGTCATCATCTCTAGACAGGCTAGGCAATTCTAGGTTATGATTTTGAAAATCACCATGATTTTGTAAATCTCCTTCAAAAGCCTCCTTAAGAAATGAGTTCAGCCCTAGGAAGCTCTGACTATGAAGTTGTAAAGCAGATAACTATAATGGCCGTGTCTGCTCATGCAGGGGAATAAAGCTATGAGATTACTTGGAGCTCATACACAAACAGTAAAATTTTGTCTTAAATACCTTCCTAGTGTAAGCAAATTCATTCTCTCAGACGAAATGTATCTGGAAGGCTGTACCAGGTTTTATCTCCTTCTCACACTTAGACATATTAAACCTGTCAGACAAGCTCAGCGTAAGTGTTGATAGAAGTTATGATGTTTCCCATTTTTTCTTTATGTTCCCGGGCATGTGCACAGCATACATCTATTAGGAAATAAACAGCACAGTTTTTGTTAACATTTCAAAAATTGTTATTAAAATACTCCCCCCAAAGATACATTTTAATTGTGTTTCTTAAAAAGACTTCACTGGCTCTGAGTTGGAACCAGCCTAGCAAAAATTAATAAATAAATAAATGATGTAAGAAACATTGCATAATGTGATACTGTGGTAATAGCTCACTTAGAAAATAAGACAGATGTATGTATAAATACATAAATTCTGAGAATTTAATTTTCTCCACATAAATATATAACTTTTATTTAACTGCTCTGCTGCGTTGCCTAAAGGAGTATAGAAAATCATTTTAAAGAGTGCAATTGTATTAAGTCCAGTTCACATCAATGCATTTAAGCTTCAGAGATTTCCTCAAGTGCTGAATGCTATAGTAGGCTCTACATGGAGGTATACCATATCTCTGTCTAGTCACAGCTCTATCTGGAGATCTAGCAGGTTTTTGAAAGCCAGGCAAGTTCATTCATTTTGTGCGCTCATGGCTATGATGTGTACCTGTTTTCTCCTAGAATGGTCTGATTTCCCAGTGCATAAGGATGCCGATTCATAAGCTTCACTGTTCTGAAGACATTTAATCTCATGTGTCTAGTGCAGCAGTGACTACAGCTGCACGGGACAGACTGCGTCATTGATTGTATTTATCATGTGTGTTTTTCCTGTCCACCACTCTGACCTTCACGTTAAAGCCAATCTCATCCCAAAATGACATATTACTAACCTTCCTGATAATCATTCATCCACAGGCTGCAGATTGAAAGAGGGGTCCACAGGGCTGATTAAAAAGGAAAAAAATAACAAAAGTGGGGAATTTAGAATGAATCGTTTTATTCTGGAAATGTTTGCATCTTGATTGAAATTCATCATGAAAGCTGCTCAGAATGGAAAGCCTACAGCTGAGGCCACCTTCTAGGAGTGTTAGGCATTTTGTTTCTCAGTGGACATGATTGACAGTGAGAATTATGGATGTTATGTTTTGATAATCAATTAGAACTAATCCATTTAATAATTGTCATGAATAATGTTTGGAAACTGGTGTAAGATTGCTTACCCGGTTGTCAGTTCTACTCCTAAAAATTGACTTAACTAAAAAAAATGTGTTAACTTCAAAAATAAAAGAAGGGAAATTGCTATCATAGTAATTTTCTTTACTTTTATATATACAGTGTGGATTAAAAGACCTCATGCTAGAGACAGAGAAGTTGTTTCGAAAACTTTGACATTTTACCAACTATATAAACACACACAAAGTATGTAACCTTTCTGTACCTCATTTTCCACATGTACAAATGGTGATATTACCTCCCATACATGAAGTTGTAAATGCTCATTATTAGTATTTTGGGAAGTTTTTTTATTTGAGAATAAAGGTTTATGGAATATTAATTGAGGTCTGCTTTCTAATTTGGAGATAGTGAGTGTCTTTTAATATGCATTTATTCACTAATAGGATTCATATAGGTGGTTAGTATAGGTGGTTATTTGTTATGTTTCAAACCTGGAACATATGTCTGAGATGCCGGTTTAACATACCAAAGTGGAACTGGTCAGCCAGGTTCTACCTGCTTCCATAGTCCCTACCTGTTACAGGGTTCTTCTAGTTAACATACCCCTACACTAAACGTCTCCAGCACAGGGGTTTGGATTGCACTTCTCTATACTATCCAACCATATTGATTACCTGCCCTCTTTGTACCTTTAAGCCTCCTGGCTGCTGTCCCTGCTCTCCCTCCTTTCCCAACTCCCCTCTCCTCAAATGGCCCAGTCTGGTCATGTCTATTCTGGACTTTCCCAAATGTGTCTGCCTCTGGTTATGCATTCCCACATATCTATAATAAGGTTTCTTCTCCACTATAACTAAGAGCAGTCATGTTTCCTTTTTTTTTAGTTCACTCAGCTATATACTCACCTATGGAGATCATGCCAGATATTGAATAAAAACAAAATGTAAAAATATTTCTTCACATTTAGAAATTACAATATTTCATTTCCTGAAAAATGAGAATATTTTATGCAAAAGAGATTAAACAGCCAATGGAATGTTTCAAATCTTATTTTACTCTTTCAGTTTTACATTTACATCTGTTAATCTATTGTCCAAATCTTTCAGAAAAGCATTGGTTTGGGGGGCTGTGGCTATAGATTAGTAGTAGAGCACTTGCCTTGTGTTTAGAGTTCAATCCTTAGCAATGAAAAAGGCAGAATCAAAAAACCTTATGTTGACAGATTTGAAGAGCTTTCAGAAGGAAGCATGTTATTATCTCAAAGCAACGATCCAGTAAAATTGGTGACAAGATTAACCTTTTGTATGCTTCACTCTGACTTAAAACATGTGCTTTAGGAAAGGTGTCATATTTTAAACAAAACAAAACCTACTTTATTTTATATTTATGATCATTTAGACATAATTTTGGCTTAGTTTAGAAGTAAAAGATTTATTTAGGACATAGACAATTTAATATCTTTAACTGGTTTCTATATGGTCATTATGAACTACAAATAATATTTTGTCTGTAACTTCAGCATACACAAGTATTGAAAAATTATGCACTTTGATGGCCGAAATATGGCATTTTCAGTTAGAATGGGAATCACTTAAAATTCTACTGTGTTATACCAGCATGACTTGCTATCCTATTTTTCATTAAGCTATGTAGTGTCAAGGGTCAACCTCACATGGCTTTCAATTTTTTGACCAGCATAAAATAACAGAAAGTTTGGCAGAAAATACTCCACGATATTTAAAAAAGAATAAGACATTTTAAACTGTCACATTCAACCTTGCCTAGAGAGTTTGTCAATTAGCAAAATCTGTGATATAAAATGGCTGATATTTTATGACCAGCTATTCAACTGTTTATATCAGTATTCTAATTTGAGCAATTGACCTTGCTCCTGGTCAAGGAAGCATTCTGTACTTCCTGCCACACACAATAATGATCAGTAGAGCTGAAAGGAAAGAAAACATTTCCTAAACACTCTATACTCTGAGAAAAAAAACAGCCTGGTTTTATTGTAGGGGGAGGGTAATTAGTAATTCTTTCCTCACATGTGACATAAGTGACTCTTTCAAACGCATATCTCAGTCTGTTTAATTACAGAGGTAAGAAACACCTTTAGCATAACGTTCACCAGTGGAAATTGTAAATGATTCTTAGCTTGGATTTCAACATTTGATGGTCTTAATAAACTAACATAAGTCAATGAATTGGGAATCTGATTCTAGCAATTTTAGACAACTTATGGGAATTATGAATGTTGTCTACTCACTCATTCACAGGATTTCCTAAATTTCTAGACTTCTGTTCTTTATATAAGAGACTGCTAAGGTCATTGACTATTTTCAGGAAGGCAGAATCAAGTTATTGTAGTATTCTAGGAAAACAGAATGCAACAGCAAAGCTTAATAGAGTCAGTGTTTGTCTTTCAAAAGGTATGATCTATGCAAGCAAGATCTTTAAGAATATATTAAAATATGTCAATTAAAAGCAAAGCAATTAAATATCAGCTGGCTTGATTTTCAGGAGCTGTAGGTAGTCTATGTACTTCTATCTGGAAGTGCTTTCATCAATTGATCTTATTGACCCTTTACTAAGACCTCATGGCAAAAGGATTTAAGTCCTTGTTTTAAACCAGGAAACTTGCATTTAGGATTATACCTCTTCAAGATCAAAGAGTTAATAATATAGGAAAGAAGGGACTCTGTTCCAGTAACTGAATCCAAACTGTATTACACATTTCATACATTTCTTCCGAGACTGAGGAAATCTTTTCATGCAGCATGCAAAAGGAAAATTTTAAGAGACATTTAAAATAATGTTAATACATAGTCCCTAATTTAATAAAGAACAGAAAATTAAACATCCACCTATTAAATATATTGTCTTAGAAAAGAATAAACTGAACAAAGGCACACCAGAAAACACATTTTTAGATTACTTATATAGTTTTAGTATTTTGAGAATATGTAATAATTGTTGTATGACTAAATTCAGAACATTTTAAAATTTTGTCTAAATGTTATTAAATCATATAATATGTATATATCTCCATAGAGCAAAAAATATTTATGGGTAGCTGCACTATCTATGATGAATACTCTTAGAAACACTGTTTTTTCTGTTTTGCTTTCAGTTATGGTATCAGAGTGCTCTTCATGGGCATTGGGCCGAAAACTGTTTCTATAATGAGAAAGACATACTAACTTTTTACTAATTCTCAAATCTAGTTTCTTTTAGAAATAAGTTTGAGTTTCATTATCAAAGTTTTTTGAAATTTTAGGGTTTATATAAACTTTATTATAAAAATAAATTTTAAAAAGTTGTATGAAAATTAGAATTTTATATGTATAGCATTAACTTGAAATATAAAGAAGCAAAAATACTTAGAGGATAACTGTTCAGTCCTTGAAACAAGCACTCAGAATTTTAAAGAATACAAAAGTCGTTCCCACTGGCTTGTTCTAAAGGATGACTGTGTAATTGCTCAATTTATATTTTATTTTTAATTTTCCTTTACATATTACTTATATTTTCCACATTCCTTCAAAAAATTTATGACATTTTTACAATCAGAAAAAATTACCAAAATTCATCAATTTACCAATACAATTTCATACACACATAGAAAACATTTGAAAAAAAAAAGAAGTGATCCCCTGTAATCCAATTCCCTGTATACAGCAAGAAATCATTGTGAATTATATTTATATATGCATGTATATATAAATATAATATGTATACTCTTATTATTTGTTACTAGCATATGCTTACAATTCCAAACACCATCATCAGTAAGTAGTCTTGAACTACCTCTTTGATCAGCAGTACTCTGATCACACTGTACTCACGACCCTCTCTGACATAAACTAAACTTGTTCCTTTTCTCTTTAGAAGGTAGCATGAAGAATTACATAAAGCTTACAAAAGCAAGGCCATCGTTGAATCCATTGTCACTTAACATATTACAGGGACTGAAGAAGAGGATGAAGGAGATGACCTCCTGCTGGGGTCTGTGGATGAGTTCTGGTGGTTTCCGCACATGTGGAGTCACATGCAGCCCCACCTCTTCCACAACGAGTCCTCTTTAGTGGAGCAGATGATTCTCAACAAAGAGTTTGCCCTGGTGAGTATATTTGGTTGTGGTTCTTCTCCTCTATGGATTGTGATCTAATAACAGTGTCTGGAAACAACAGACTGAGTTGAGCCCCATAGAAATTGAATAGAAAAAAATATATATATGTATACATATATCTCAAAGGACATTACAGACATTGAAATTTCCTGTTGCTTCATGATATTCTGTGCTAGTTATGCATGTATGTGCATGGTGTGATTACACCTAGTGGTAAATACATATGTATATGCACATGTATGTAAAATATATATGAGTTCTACACATAGTAAAAAATATTGGTATATTTTCAAGGTAACTGTCAGGAAGCTGAGAATTTTATCAAAGGATACTTCTAGCATTTGAAAAAAGGAAGTGGTAAAATATAATTTGTTTCTCAAAATTTACTCCTCTTAAGTATAGATAAATTACAGTTATCAAGCAATGACTCAAAATTTAGTGTGTCTTTTTGAAAAATAATATTCAAAACACAGACAGTAAGTCCTTGCTCCCAATGTTTAGTTCAATAGATTTACAGAGGCCTAAGACTTGCATTTCCAAAACTTTTCCAATAAATGCCTATATGCTGGGAAGAGCCATTCACATAGTCTAAATGGGCAAACTGCTGCCTATTCATGTGATCCAACTAAGAAAGCCTTTTTTCTACATATTTTTAAATAATTGAAAATTCTACTGAAGTAACGATAATGATTTGTAATTGAAAACAGTAATATTGCAAAGTCTGAATGTCCATGTCTCTAGGTAAGATGCTATTGGGTTTTTGCCCCACTCCTGCAGTGTCCTCGGCTGCTTTCCTGCCACTATTGTGCACTGAAGTTGTGAAAACAGATCCTACTGTCTCAAGTCCTAAGACATGTGTGTCTTGCCTTTGGTGAAAAGTATACCTGTCCTTGTTTTAGGTATTACTTCAGTCCTCTCTGTCCTTTCAGAAATGTAACAAAACACATAAATCTGGCTCTCAGAAAGACAGTCACATAGCAATGTGATGTTTGCATAGTAGGTCATGTTCTCACAAAAAATGTGGAAAGCCCCTCAAATGCCTGGAGCTCTCAGTTCTGGATCACATCATGACTACCTACAGCTCCTCTGAACTGTGCCATTGCAGAAACTTTCCGTTTTGAGTAATCGTATTTAGAAGCACAGCACTCAAATAAATATAATGGAGTCCTATAAAGTTATACCTGGTTATTCATTATTATTTTAAAAGGACACCTTAATTTCCTTTGTAAGTTTCCATGGCAGAGTCATAAAATTATAATTACAGTGAGTAAGATCAAAGATTATGGCACCAAAATACCTTGATTGACCTTTTTCCTTCCATGAATGGCCACTTGATGTAGTACAAATCTCTTAAATCATCTGTGTCTTGGTTTCTCACACACAAAAGAACCAGGAGAGAAGAAAGAATTGCCATGTAGGATTGTTGTGCAAATGCACATATAATTTTCCACCAAAGTCTAACACTCAATAAGTCTTCCATATGTATTGTTTATCCAATTATCTCCTTTAAAAATACACACAAATATGTAGTCTTATGCTGCTTTAAATAGTTAAATACTTTTTTTCAATGTGAATAAAAGATTTAACTTGTAGGCACTATACAAAAAATTCTGTAATGCTAAATAGGATAAATAGGATTCTAAGCATTATCAGTAAATTTGCCTTACTCAAAAACAAACACGCTAATAAACATTCCCGGTTTTGTTACTTGGAAAACCTAACATGTTTATCACTTGTCTTAAATTTGCCCAACTCTACTGCCACTCAGCAACCTGGCTCTCCAGATTTGTAGGTGATATTTCATAATAGCTGATTTCACCTGTTTGCGTAATTTCTTTTTTAAAAGCCATGCTGAGAGCTCTGGAAAAAATTACGATGTAATTGCTTCGTAATGAATCATTGGGAGCTTTTTAGAGGCCATTCAGTGCAATTACATTTGTTTAGTCAGTGACGCTAGAAGCTACACTTAAACCTATAAATACATCTTGTTTAAAAAAGGATCTTATTATGTGTTTCAAAGACAAAATATTGCAACCCAAATGAAGCTTGTTAAACACACACATTGCAGTGGCATTGTCTGTTTCTTTTCTGAGTTCAGTTCCACAAAACTTAAGAATGTTAAGCAATGTCATTGAGAACCCTGCCTTCCCTGTCAACAGGGCATGACAGTAAGAATGTTATCTGGAGTCAAGAAGCATTTCTTTCTTATACAATTATTTTCCTAAGTTTAAGTAACATTTTGAAACCATCAACAACATAAAGACAACATAGGGCAGTTGCAAGCACCAATGAGATAATGGCAGGCTAAAAATGAGTCCCAACTGCTTGTAACCAGTTCTAATAAAGTTGGCAACTTATTTAATGTCTTCATGCTTCACTTACTTCCCTTGAATGCTAATGGCTGTTTTTCATTCTCTACGCCACAAACTTTCTTTAGATAATTAATTTACATCAACTCATCTGCCAAAGGAAAGCACTGGACCAGATAATGCCACTGATCAATTCCAGCGCTAAAGTTTGCAATAACTGACAACATCAGTCCCAAAATTTGGATTGAACATCTTGAAATACTCAGCTGGCTGCAATTGTAGTAATTTTGTAAATCGTTTTTTCAAACTAAATCAGCACTTATATGCATAAAAATCAAATATACTAAACTCTTCCTTTAAAAACTGTTTCTGGACATTCCTAATGACTCCATGGTAGGACTATGTGTGATAGAGGAGTTATCAGTTTCAAAGGCACAGTTGTATTCATCAAGTCTCCAAATAATATTCAAGTGAAGTAGTTAGGATCTTGATACAGATATTTTTATAAATAGAGTTTTTAAAACTCAAACATAATGGTTATATCCATAGGACTCTTTGAAATCTCTCTGGGTATAGTTCATTTCCTCTTGGAACATATTTGAAGATCATGAGAATAATACATTAAATGAGTGGTTTTCTTTCCTTTCAGTATTTTTGAAAGAAGCTTTATTAATATAAGGCTGTGCCATTAGTTAAGCTTGGCAGATGCCCTTACAAAATCGATTTGTGTGGAGTGGAGGCATAGGGAGTATGTACATTCAATCCATGAGTAAGATTAACTGGATTAAGTATGCATGTACATGCTTAATACATGGACACATGTCATATGTGTGTTTGTATGTTTTCACAGAAGGTGTTAACATATTGATCAGAATAATCAAGGTGTGGCAGTGGCGATGTACTTTACTAGGTATGACAGAAAATATTTTTATGATCCTGTCTGTAATAAACCATAGATCTTTGCTGCCACTCAGTTGCTTGTGCATGTCAGTAAGCAGACACAAACTTTCAAAGATGACAACAAAGGCTGAGGAAAAGCAGAGACAGGGGGTAACACGAAAGCAACTGATGAAAAGGGGACCAAAAATCATCTTTCATTTAACCTGCATCTCCATTTCAATCACAGAGGAAAACAGAATGCTTGTAACATAAACCTGAACTACTTACTTTTATTCTACAATAGACTTGTGGGTAAAATTCTGTTTTGTCGTTTCAAGTTTAACATGCACACTCATTAAAGTTTCTAAGCCAGTGGGGATTTTCTGTCCGCTGATTATTTCAGATGAGAAAATATCCTAAAGGGGAAAAAAACAGCGTTTTGTCTTCACTGCTAACATTTTCAATAAAGATGAAGTTTCCTCACATTTTAGTAAATAGTAAAGTATCTTGTTTTAACTAAGTAAATGCAGATTTTTAAAGTTAGTGGTTTAAAGTTCTGTTTAAAAGTTTTACATATTTAAGAAATATAAATATACCTATCATAATTAGATTAAATATTCATGACATCATGACATGTAAAGTATTTCAATTAGAACACAAAATTGGTACTAATGAAATAACTCAGCAGGTTATGTATTTTTTTGTATAAGGATGAAGACTTAAGTTTGGATCTCAAGTATCCATGTATAAAGTAGGACATAAATGTACATCTGTAATCCATGTGCTTGAAGGTAGAGACAAGAGGATCACTGAGGTCAGTGGTATGCCAGCTTAGCCAATCAGTGAATTATAAATTCAATTATAGACCTTGCCTCAAAAATGAATGTAGACAGGTTTCTGACCCATCTTCTGGTGCCCTGCACTGTGCTTGGGGTTACCAGTCCCTGCAGACCAGCCCATCCAGTGTCTGCCGAAGTAGCAGTTCTTCTTCCACTCACAGAAGGAGCCTGGGCCTGTTTCCATCCTGCCTTCCAGTCCCCTGCTCAGAATATCCTAAGGCCTGGGGACTGCTGCCTGAGGAACCTGTCCCAGCATACCAGTCCATCCAGAATCTCCCAGCTTCAAGGTGCTAGTCCCACCTCCACCCACAGGAGGAGATAATCATGGACCTGTTGCCAGCCTGCCTTCCAGTGCCCTGCTTGGAGTCCCCAGAGGCTGGGGGCCTGCACACAGGGAACCCATCCTGTCGAATAATCCATCCAGAGTCGCCTACATTGTGGTACCAGTCCAACCTCTACCCTGGGAAGAGGAGAGCCATCAGAGTATTGAACCTGTTTACACCCACAAGAAAGGGAACCTACCATACCATACCTACCAAGAGAGGTAAAGACCCCAACAGTACCCATTGGAAAACAGGAAGGGGAGACAAAAAATAAAAACACAATAAACAACAGAAAGATCAATATGACACCAAAGAATTAATGTAAAAAAGAATTGGTTCTTTGAGAAAATCAGCAAGATAGAAAATTTTTTATCCAAACTAAGCAAAAAGCAGAGAGAGAACATGCAAACTAACAAAATCAGAAATGAAAAGGGGTCATAACAATGAACACTGAGGAAATCCAGAGAATCATCAGGTCATTCTTAGAAAACCTGTACTCCAGAAAATTTTAAAATTGAAAGGAAATGGACAATTTACTGGATAGATATTACTTACCAAAATTAAATCAAGAACAAAATGGCAATTTAAATAGACCTATAACACATAATTAAATAGAAGCAGTCATCAAAAGTCTCCTAACC